GACATCGCGTGCGTGCTCTTTGCCCAAACAAACAACGCATAGATTGTGTGTGTCATCAGATGTTAAACAATGTCAACAAGGATGCACACATCCTTAAATGATTTGCTAGTACTCGCCATAATGAGATAAATAGAGATCGCTCTTACCACAGAAATGCACGCTTCAAACAAAACAGTCGATGAAGACGAAGAAGAGAATGATGTGTGCTCCCGCCGCCTAGTTATACTATAGTCACACCGATAGTGACGTCATGGCTGTCGCCGGCCAACGAGTTGGTGGTTTTTCAATGTATGCTTCAGACACGGGTCACGACGAGGAATTCCCCATAGCGACCCCTAGAGGACGCAGTTCGAAGTTCCCATGAAAGGGTAGTAACATTACGTGACATTGCTTACAAGCTGTTTTATTGATGTCTTTCCATGTTTGAAACACTAATTGGAGATTAAATTAGAATTAATATTTCAGTAACTGTTTCTTTCAACAAACCTTCTGATCATTAATGTTTACTTTGCGTTATAACTAGTAATAAAGAGGAAGAAAATTGGTTCATGTGCTGCTTGAACTGAGGAGGCTACAGTGATGTGTCACATTTAAGAGCTTCAAAATGACATTGTAAAAAACTACGTGTCTGCACACAAAACGCTGTTGTCATGTAAATGATATATGTTCATCAAAACAAAGATCGATTAAAAACTAGAAATCGATAGCCCTAGCATCCACACAGCTGACATTTTTTCCCGTTGTAGATTATTCAGATTGTGAGCAGAAAATAGACACTGACACAGTCAAAACGCGTCATCGAGAAGTGCTAGTAATTACCGAATATGAATGTTTTTCAGTAAGCATGTGCTCATAGACATCAACCAATATATTTTTTGATAAAATATTTGCTTGGAGGTCAAAATAATTATATTTTCATAAGAACAGTAAATGTAATGGGATAATACCATTGGAGCATGTGTGCTAATAAATAAGCCACGCATCCAGTCACAATCAATCATGTGTGCTTACCCACTGCATCAGAGAGGCCGTAGACACGCTGACCGTATGCATCGGTCTTGTCCCAGATAAAGGTGTAGGCGAGGTTGGGTGAAGCGTGGAACCACTTCTGGAAGAGATGGCCCTCCACGGCAACCATCAGATGGACTTTGACCAGGCTGAGTGGCACCACGGCTTGAGTCATGGTAATCTTGAGCAAGGAGTGGTAACCTGAGGTCCGTGAACTCAGGTGACAGAGCTTCAGACTGGTGCCAGGAATCTCTAGCTGCTCATGCAGAACCTGGCAGACAGATACAGGAATGACTTTTATGTCATAGGAAAATGGTATTTTCAAACAAGAAAAGGAAATGATTAGCAAGGTCAGAGGGTGGAAGAAAGACTGAGAGGAAGGAGAAATGCAAAAAAAGAGTATAATTAGAGTGAAATGGTTGATGAGGGATGACCTGTGAGTTTTGTCAGGTTAACAACCTGTCAACTAATTTAATGACCAGAGAGAGTGGTGAAGGAACATGAATAAAGTGAAAAAATAGCAATATTTGGGATTTGGGTGAAGACTAATTGAAGAATTCCATCAGTACAAAACGCATTAATCAGCTAATTACAGTAATGAAGGTTTCAAGGAAGTGGGGCTCTCATCACACCTGTGTCTCTGGAATGATGGACCTCTCTCCTGGCCTGGAACTGAAGAAAGAGGAAAGGGGGGAGGCCACCACCACAGGATCAGGCCTCACAAAGCCGCTGAGGTCACAGCTCGGGATTGTGTTCTCTTCTGTCTTCAACATCAGAGTGTCCATGGCATAGAAAATGTTCCATGGGAGCCACACTGTGCGCTCTTGACTCAAAAATGGAGCCCGCTCGAATCGGAGGGTGAGAGAGGCTCCACCATTGGCAATGAGGTCAAATCTAATGACACAGAGCGAAAGGAAGTGGGAAAGGCAAACAGACAGCAAAAAACAAAAACAAAAACAAATATGTACTTGTGCGATCCATAATTTCCAAAAGCTCATCATACGCAGGGCAGGAGGATTGGGAAGGCTCAGCCTCAGCTTCTTTGCCCTCCTCAGCTATTTCCTGCTTTTGCTGGGCTGATCCCAGCAGAGCAATGGCCCCTGAATCAGACAATGTTAATGAAATAACATCATCCTCCAGCAGCTCACTCTCGTGCACAGCCGATGATCGCGAAAGGGAAATCCCCCTTCAAACTCATCGGCCAGATCCACCTGCGATCCCCACGAGCTCATTCCCTTCCGTGCCTCAGCAGCGGCGGGTCCTGAATCGCGGGAAGCAGATGGCTGCCCCTCTTTCCTCGAAAAGAGAGACAAAGGAGAGTGGAGCTTTTACCCTTGGAAAAAAATCGCTCGCCGTGCACGCCGATTGCCCCCTCGGAGACATCGCGTGCGTGCTCTTTGCCCAAACAAACAACGCATAGATTGTGTGTGTCATCAGATGTTAAACAATGTCAACAAGGATGCACACATCCTTAAATGATTTGCTAGTACTCGCCATAATGAGATAAATAGAGATCGCTCTTACCACAGAAATGCACGCTTCAAACAAAACAGTCGATGAAGACGAAGAAGAGAATGATGTGTGCTCCCGCCGCCTAGTTATACTATAGTCACACCGATAGTGACGTCATGGCTGTCGCCGGCCAACGAGTTGGTGTTTTTTCAATGTATGCTTCAGACACGGGTCACGACGAGGAATTCCCCATAGCGACCCCTAGAGGACGCAGTTCGAAGTTCCCATGAAAGGGTAGTAACATTACGTGACATTGCTTACAAGCTGTTTTATTGATGTCTTTCCATGTTTGAAACACTAATTGGAGATTAAATTAGAATTAATATTTCAGTAACTGTTTCTTTCAACAAACCTTCTGATCATTAATGTTTCCTTTGCGTTAT